AGCTATATATCATGAAAATTTTGTCTGCTATTGGGGTCCTTCTGGCTAAGATGAAACCAGCCAGCAGCAATGTTAGTCCTCCTTAATACTGATATTAAATTGCAAGAATAGCAGGAAGTCTAGCAGTCATGAAAACTTCACTCACGAGATTGTTTGCACTGCTGGGCTGGGCTGTATCACGCAAAATTGTCTTCTCCCTGACTGGTACCAGTTTCCCTGAACACTTATGGCCAAATGCAAGCAGAGAACTCTGACACTGAAAAACGAGGTGTGCTGTGGTGGAAGGCAGATAAAAGGCCATGACAAGAGCTGAACCAAACTGCTACTCATGGGAAGCATGAAGCAGGGAACTGTTTCTGGAGCAGCCTTCAGTTGCACTGGATGAGGTGAAGTGTCAATGAACACTTTTTAACCCTTCTGAAAAAGATTTGCTCTACAAATTCTGCTGAATAGCACAGGACTAGAAAAGAAGGAGCAAAAGACTGTGACAGGAAATGTTTCTCATGCACAGGCAGCTAAATCTGGAGTTTAGAGTTTGTGAGGCTGGGCTTTGGAGTATCAGGCCTGTCCCTGAATAGGTATTTAGCCTTGCAGGAGTGGCTCATTCTTTAAGAACATAGTTATGCAAGGTGTTAGCTCACTTGCCCAATAGCTATAGCTACATACCCAGGAAGCAGCCAAATCCAGAGCCCCCATGACCACTTAACCCAAACTTCAAATGCGCATCCCTTTGTTCACCAAAATACATTATAATCTTTGAAGGGTTTGCTTGGTTGTCTCTTGACCCCTCCTAGGCCTGAACTACCAAGGATTAAACCTCACAGGCAGAAACAAGAAGCCAGGTACACTTTCAGTCAGGCCACTGTAAAAAAAACTCTCTTAACTTCCCTCCTCATCCAGATAGACCTGCACTCCCAGCTATAGACAAGTCCAGTTCTAACAGAGCAGAGGGAACAGGAGAGTAACCTTAGGGTACTCATTTTTAATCCAAGTCTCTTAAGCTCCAGAGAAGTAATGTAATCATTATTAAGCAAGGTAAAATTAATGACATTTACACTAACATAAGTTATCCCAGGATTAAAAACCAAGTTATGTGGGCAGGACCAGAATAGAAGGTTAATGGCCTGCTACTTCTGCTTGTTTGACAGATTTCTGCCTAGGACTTAGATAAATACCTTTTGCTTATAGCTCTTCAAGTGCAATTACAGAGGGTTTTTGGACCTCACCCTTAATTTTTCACAACAGATAGTCTATTTTTAAATGCTATTTTTAAATCACATTAGCCATTTAAATTCATTAGAGAAGAAAAGCATGGTGGCAGATTTTAACATCAACAAGATAATGGTGTAGAAACCATTTCTAACCCAGGGGTTCTCAAATACACTGATCTAGTTCTGGAGCTCTAGCTACACGCTGAGATCCCATAGTCTGACTGTAGTCCAAACAGCCTGTACAGAGCTAAATCTCTCTCAGTTTATCAGTCAGCCAGAATCAGACCCTGGGCAGGAAACTTCATACAGAATTTACCAATATTGTTTGATGCTTTTGTAGAACAAAAACATTTTGCAGTGAATCCGGGATATTGTTCCGCTAATTACTCCACAGGTAAATGTCCCCTTTCTTCTTACCTTTCTTTTTATTTATACTCAGACACATTTAGAGAGAGATGAAATGCAAAATTTCCCTGACAGGGACAGAGGAATAGAAAAAGTATTTTTAGAAGATTTATACTGCAGAGAAAAAGGAACACACCAAGATGTAAGAGAAAAAAATATGGGATCACAGCATGGTTTGGGCTGGAAGAGACCTTAAATACCATTTAGATCCAGCCCCCCTGTCATGGACAGTGACACCTTCCACTAGCCCAATTTATTCAGAGCTACATCCGGCCAGGCCTAGAACACTTTCAGGAATGGGGAGACCCCAGCCTCTCTGGGCAACAAATTTTTAAGTTGCTCATTAATTTAATGTGTAGGCATGGGAAACTGAGTGGATTTCAAGTAAAAAATAGTCTGGCATTATCATGCATAAAAGGAGCTACAAAATAAAGAAGGGGAAGAAGTATTCTTTTCCTCCTCTTCATATGTACATTACATCTCTTCCCTTTGCCCCTCTTGATGCAATAAGCAGAGTCAAATTACATATAGCAAGGAAACCTTATAACATGAAGTAAGAATCTAGTATAGCCAGTTGCTGCACACTGATGAATTGGAATGACTCCCTACCACATGAATGAATCATGAATAAGTCTGCAGAAATCAGCTCTCACTCTCAAGTTATGCCCAAATAAGTTAAAAAACGAGACTGCTGGTACAGAAAATGCAATATCACTGGTTTGACAGTGATGCTGCAAATAACACTTTGGTATAAGTGCTTTGGAATTAGAAGATCAAACAATGGAGCCTCCTTAAATTGACTTCTGATCAACCTAAATAAACTGCCTTTAAATGCAACAGGTGATGGACTTCAAGCACCAGAATGGTATCTACTGCTTAGCAGTCATCCATTAGTCAGCCATCCCAAGTGAAAAGCACTTTCTCTGTAGAGAAAAAAATTCTTTACTACAGTTTAAAGAGTTTTACTCTTTAAAGAGTTTGATTCTATTCAAACTTTACTCCTGAATAAAGAGTGGCTTCCAAAGGATAGGAGCATCACTTTTAATTAAAGAAAAAGAAAATGAAACACTTTTTCCTGCTGAGAGACTACAAATTACCTTTATATTTCCTCGGAAATAATGTTTTGTTATTAGATTATTGATTTAAGTTGGTTTCATCCCTTTTTGTCATGAGCACAGGAAACAATACAGAATAGAAAAGTAGTAATTTCTTTAACTTCAGCCAACAGTCTTCCTGGTTAAGCCTTTTTTCCAGATGCAACTATCAAAGATCTTCTCCACATACTAAAACTGAAGCAGTATTTTCACTTGGGAACCTGGCAAGCATCTCCTGCAGAATAACAGGAGTTTACTCCAGGGAATACCTGCACATGGTCTCTATCCAGCAGAAACAGAGCACTCCTGGAGTGCTATCCAGTGTTCTAAAGCACTGGCTCCTAAGGGAAATTACAAATTCACTTTTCTGTCATTTTTGGGGGCAAAGGAATGTTCACTCTGGCCTTTGTCAGAATTGGAGAACAAGAACATGAAAACCTATTTCACAGAATTTTAGAAGTCTGACAGTGAAACTGATAATACATTATTTTGGGATGCAAGAAATGCTGGAATTAGATTCATTTATCAAGAGACAGGTCCAATGAAAGCTTCAAGAAATTAAAAAATGTGCCTTACAACCAAAGCAGAGAAGGGCTGCACACATAAGGTAGAAGCAGACTAAGATGCTATTTCCTTGCCTTAGACCTAGACATAAACACACTTAGGTATGGTAATTGGTAGCAGTATATAAGCATTTTGCAACACAGCAACAGTATTAGTAGTATTTTATAACTTAGTATACATGAATAACACACAATTGCAAATGAACAGAGACTTGCAATATACTTGCCCAAATAGGGCACAGGAAAGCACATGCAAGTAGCAAAATCTGCAAGATAAGAACAGAGAATGTAGAATGGTCAGGAAATATGTCAGATAAAACTAAAATAAGATTGCAGAACAAAGGGGAGATACGTCTGATGGCACCAGAATAACTGCAAAACAAATAAGAAAGATGCCTAGCAACACTATGGTAAGCTTATTCCCTCAAATATGAACTCCATCATCTGAGATCACCCCCTTTTCTTCCAGGGAGGAAGCAAGGTGAACAATACATTAACAATTAGAAAAGAAGGATGATAATTAATGAAAATCACAGAAATTCTCACTTCGATTCCAGCTTCTCTTGCCAAGGAGCTCTCAGGCACTTTACTGTGACTCCTGCAACTGAAACAAGCCATCAAGTATAGTCACCAGTGCTAAATATAGGGCACCAGCTCCAGGGTATTGTATAGTCCAGGTTTACTATTACTACATAATATATATGATGGTTAAGAACTCTTTGGGAAAGAGATAATAGCAACTAATGGTAACTAAGAACTAATGACTGGAAAGCTGTATTGTTGCTGTACACGAGTTTAATAAAGTGCTTTGTTTTATTAGTCTTTTAAACAATCCATCACCGAGATCTTTAGTCTGTGTGTAAACACACAAATGTTTTGGTGCAACACTTTGATCAGTTCTTTTAGCTAGTAAAATCAAGTTTCTTCTCACAACATCCTGTTAAGCTTATGTTGTGAATGAGTGTGGGGAAACGCATCACCACAAAAAGTTCTAAGTCCCTTCCCCTTGCACTTCGTCAAAAAGTTAAAAAATACTTGTCACTTAGCAATCCGTCCCCAGATTTAAGTGACCTTCATCCTAGCAATCTTCTAAGCAGATTCTTCTACTCATACAGGAAAGACATAACTGGCTGCGTTAGACTTTAGGGCCAGGTCCAATCCTGTAAGTCATTTCAGAGACAGCGTGGATGGTGCGACTAATTCACTGTTTTGAGATTAAAAGTGTTTACTACTTACGCAAAGGTTATTAACATCTCTCAGCTGAGATCTAAGCACCTTATTTAAATAAGGAGAGTCCTCGCATTCCAGCAGACTGCAGGAGCTCTGCGCAGGGAAGTTCTGACAGCTACCCGGCTCTCACCCCGGACAGAAGCAGCAGCAGCGGGGATGTCCCGGCGCTCGGCTCCCCGGGACTCTTGAGAGCGCTTCAGAGGAAAGGCGCTGACAGGCGCCACTTCCCTGCGGCCTCAACAGCTGGGGCCGGGCTCACACCTGTGAGCGCCGCGCCGTCCTCAGGCGAACGGGCTCTGCCAGCCACCGGCGGCCAAACCCTGCGGAGCAGCCCGGGGGGTGAAGGCTGGCAGCCGGGCCCCTCAGCGGCCAGCGGGCTCGCTCTCACGCTGCCCCAGCACGGCGGGCGCGGGAGGCTCCTACGCCCCTTTTTGACTCCGAGTCACTGCATTAACAAGACACCCCCCTCTCCTCCCCAGAGCCCTTTCTAGCCTCACCTCTTCCGTCCCCTCCGCGGCACCCCCTTCCTTCCCTCCGGCCAGGGACAATGCCGGCTCCCCGGTCCCGGCCGGCAGCCGCTGTCCCGCGCCGCCGTCCCGCTTGTCTGAGGGCAGGGAGGCGGCGGCGCGGGGCGAGGCCGAGCCCGTCCCGCCGCTCGGGGCCAATGCCGGCGCCCGG